TTGAAATTTAATATTTTCTTAAAGGATTACAAAATTAGCAGTTTGGCGCAGAAATCAAGGATGAATGTTGTACAATAAATTATAGAGTATGTATGCTTAGATTGCTAGCATTAAGATCATAAGTACCGGAAAGCCAACAATTAGCGGGATAAAATGTGTTCTTATGATGAACAACATAAGGATACAGAAGCTAATGGCTTATCACAAGCGTGTGCCGCTTGATGAAAGCGTGTGGCATATATTTGCAAAAGTTATTACAGTTATTTTGAGCTTAAGATACTTCATGTGTATCTCGAAATTTATTTATTTCTATATTTTAAATATTTGCGCAATATACAAACTTTACATAGACCTGAAATGCCTCACTATATATATAATATATAAGTATATTATATTGCCGAAAGTATCACATTGCAATTAATTTAACGTGCTCCTTTCAAGTGTACACAGAGCGTAATAAACTGAACTGTGCAGCGACATATTGCCCCAAGTTGGGTTGAAGGTGTAATTTGAGAAGCGCGATTACTGGCCGACGCATATCCTTGCGGGCGAGCAGCGGACATTGACAGCTCCTTTTCAACTGTCACTTTGTTTTGTCGTATTTATACTGAAGTGACGTTTTGATGCGCCGTGTATTTTAAAATAAGACTGTCTTGCGCTTTTTGTTGGTTGTCGGTTGTTTACGAAGAAATGCTCGTACCCTAATCAGGCAGGACATATTGCGGTTTTAAATGNAAGGACATTTGATGCTTTATAAGTATGGTTATTTTAATAAACTCAAAGTAGTGTAGAATAATATTGGTATTCTATAAGAAGATAACAATATATAGAATTGAGGAAAGCTAAATATTTTTGAGTACAAAAAAAAGTAATAATAATAAGAAAACAATCTGTCGAATTGTGTAAAGTGAGAATCGAGTAAGTATTGAAAATTGCGCTCATACTTTTAAGAGTTACTCATAGTTTAACTGAAAAAAAGTGTTGTATACTAAATTGTGCTTTGTGTAATTTTCGATCTTGTCCATTTTGAGTTATTTCTTAATCTTCGAAATTTTTACATGATACTTCTATTTTAAAATTTACTTTAACCTTAAAATCTTTTATTTCAATCAAACACAATTTTATTATTCTCAAAATCAATATATTTTTTATAATATTTGCCATGAAAAGTTGTGAAACATAATTTCTCCAAACTGATTCGTCCCCAAAAAGTATTTATAGTCAGAAAATGTATAAAAATGTGTATAGCTTTGCTACCAGCAAAATGTATTCGTTGCTATCTCCCACTGATTAAAGGGTAGAATTGGTGTTGGTATAGGTAAATGGTTAATTGTGAGTTTATTTTGAACATTCGTGCAATAAAATATAGACCCGTGGCCTAAACTAATTGTTGGTAGGAGAAACTTCAAATTAAACTCATCTGGTCAAAAATCTGCAACATGTTGGTTCATCCTCTCCCCATATAACGGGGGTTTGTTTAAAACTACTAAAAGCGCAAGAAATCAATAGCTAAATGCTTCACAGATAAAAAAAATGTAGCATCCAAAATGCCACGAGAAGGTTTTATAGGAGCCGGTGTCAAATTTGGACGATGGGCAGGCACCGCTTAATATAAGAGAAAATCCATATCTCGAGACGTACTCTACCGATTTTAACCAAATTCGATATGTAACATTACACTGATTTTCTATGTTACAGTATAAAAGTGGACCAAATCGGACTACAACCACGCCTACTTCCCATATAACACAGTTTTAAATTGCTTCTGATTCCTTCACTTTCCATTATACAAATTAAGAACCAATCAATGTATCTGGATAAAACTTTGCAGAAAAAATTGTCAAAATCGGACCATAACTTTTGAAGAACCCAGACGCCAAATATGTAGACCCCAGTTTGTATGGATGACTTTTTGCCGAAAGTATTGGTCAATTTGTGATATATATTATTGAAATTCGAGGAAAATGTTTCTTTAATAATAATCTACACTTGTGGCAAAAATGTGTTGAATTGAGTCAATACTTCCCTTAGCTCCCATATACCTTATATAAAGATTTTCAAACTTCCAGTTGACTTTATACCACATATATCGACCAATGTGCTAATTATTTCAATGGAATTGAGGTGTTTTTCTACTAACAGTGTATCTTTGTGCCGAAAATGGATAAAATGAGGCGGAAACTTGCCTTAGCCCCATATATTTGATATACACGATTTGGAAATGTTGGCTAACTTTACTCCATATATATTTTTCTATTTTTCTATTTATAAATTTACTTGAAAATAAGTTCTCAAGTATACCTAAGCAATGCCAATGACTTTAGTATGATTTTCGCTGACGGGAAGTAAAATATCGTCATAAAACTAAGGGAGGCTATAACCATCCAAATAAGTTAATATGATACCAAATTTGATTGCAACCCATTCACGATTTCATCGAGTAATGTAGTTGTACCCTTAGCCCTTCCTTACATGGTCTTATATAAGTTTATTTGTGAACTCCTTTATATAAAATTTGTAACAGTAATTATTTCAACTAATTGCAGAACAAAATGGAAGGCAAAACAGTTATCATTACAGGCGCCAACAGCGGCATTGGCAAGGAGACAGCACGCGACTTGGCCAAGCGCGGAGCTCGCATCATTATGGCGTGCCGAAATCTGGAGACGGCGAATGCCGTTAAAGGTAAATACAATCATTAATAATGAAAGTAATTTTATAACACAAAAATGCATCATTACATGATTCCAGAGGAAATCACAAAGGAGACTGGCAACAGCAAGTTGATTGTTAAGAAATTGGATTTGGGCTCACAGAAGTCGGTACGCGAATTTGCTGCCGATATTGTAAAGAATGAACCGAAAATTGATGTACTCATACACAATGCTGGCATGGCGCTGGCATTCCGTGGACAAACAAGTGAAGACGGCATTGAATTGACAATGGCTACCAATCATTATGGTCCATTTTTGCTTACTCATTTGCTGATTGATGTTTTAAAGCGTAGCGCACCATCGCGCATTGTTATTGTTGCTTCCGAATTATATCGCTTCGCTTCAGTGAATTTGGATAAACTCAATCCGATTGGTACATTCCCAGCTGCATATCTGTACTACGTGTCCAAATTCGCCAACATTTATTTTGCACGCGAATTGGCCAAACGCCTGGAAGGTAGCGGTGTAACGGTGAATTTCTTGCATCCAGGCATGATTGATTCGGGTATCTGGCGTAATGTACCCTTCCCACTCAACTTGCCGATGATGGCTATAACAAAGGGATTTTTCAAGACAACAAAAGCAGGTGCACAAACTACCATCTATTTGGCCACTTCCGATGACGTGGCCAATGTCTCGGGCAAATATTTTATGGACTGCAAAGAGACAACTTTGAGTGCTGCTGCGATGGATGAGGAGAAGGGTCGCAAGTTGTGGGAGGAGTCACTTAAGTTGGTCAAGTTGACTGCACAAGACCCAAAGATCTAATCATATTGATAATTACAAGTAATTTAAGTTTCAGAGCGTGCAATATTGCATTTTTAATGGAATTATAAAATAAATTGTATTTCTAGTTTTTGCTATATTTGTTTAAGTATGTATGGAAAAAATCTCTATTACCTACCTATTATGTACGACTTTTAATGAAATGAAAGGAGAAAAGGCATCCGATGGAGCGAGACGCAGATAAGTCGTCAATTTGGATTACTGAGTTAGGGTTGTGCCCACAATATCTTTTTATATGGCATTATGAGGTTGACAAGACCAGTTGAATTCCAAATGATTATCTGTGCGTCCATCCCTGCATTCGGTAACTTGAGTAAAAGTTGAGATATCTTGATGAAACTTGACGCATGACTTTCTGGCACGCAAGGGAGGTGGGTATTGTATAAGTTAGGAATCGGCCAAGCCCCCCAAAATGCTGTTAAGCGAAAGCCTATAAAGTGTCATAACTATGTCATAAATTAAGATAAACAAGCAAGGAAGGGCTAACCGAACATTTTATACTCTCGCAAAGTCAAATGGTATACTCGTTTGAGATTTCTTTGTGGATTGACTGATATTTTCGGTAGAAGGTCAACTATAGGCACTGGGGTCCACATATTTAGTACTTAGGAGTTTGAACAGTTTTGGTTCGATTTAGACAATTTTGGGGGCATACTTTAATTGCATTATTCACGCAAAGTTTTACGCCGATATATCATTGTTCTGATTTGCATAGTGGAAAGTGAAAGAATCAGATGGATTAAAATGGTGTTACATGGAAGTAGGTGGTTTTCCGATTTCGCATTTCGCACTATGACATAGATATGAAAGACGTTATGAGAATTTGGTTAAATCGGTAGAGATCTCAAGATTGGTTCACCTAAAGTGGCTGTCACGCACTGACTAATTTGAACGCGGTTCATAAAGTCATTTATACCATCTCAGAGATAAAATTTAATGTCTCTGGCGTGTTTAGTGCTTGATTTATCGCGCTTTTAGTAGTTTTTAACAGTACCGTTATATGGGGAGTGGCGGAGTTGCCACCCGATTTCAACTATTTTCACACCGTCAATAGAAGTGCTAAAAAATTGCTTCTAGTGAATTTTGTTATTATAGCATTAGCGGTTTAGGAGATATGCACATTAAACCTATTAGAGGCGTGACCACGCCCACTTAAAAAAAAAGTTTTAACTGCAGATGCCCCTCCCTAATGTGATCCTGTGTACCAAATAACAGTCTTGTATCTTATTGCGGAGCTTAGTTATGGCAAGTTATTTGTTTTTGATTAATGGCGTTTTGTGGGCGTGGCAGTGGTCCGATTACGCCCATCTGCAATACCAACGTCTCACGGTAACAAGAAACATGTCACAAGTTTCATAAAGATATCTCAAGTTAGAGCTTGCACGGACGGACAGACGGACGGACGGACGGACAGACAGACAGTCACCCTGATTTCAACTCGTCTCTTCATCCTGATCATTTATATATATATAACCCTATGTCTAACTCGATTAGTTTTAGGTGATACAAACAACCGTTAGGTGAACAAAACTATTATACTCTGTAGCAACAGGTTGCGAGAGTATAAAAAGGGTTGCATAGGACTGATTTTGAAAATTGGCCGACATTCTTATGCTAAGTGCCGTTTCACATTGGGATTCAAAAGAGTCTGATGTTTTTCAAATTTTCTTTTGGTGTCGCTCTGGACATTCACACGGTCAAAAAGAGTCCAGCAACTCGAGTCGAGTTTTTCTGCATTCCTTTTCACAAAATTTTCGTAAATATTTGTGCGGTTCGACTGCGCAACACTGCGTGCTGCGTATTTCATTTGTATGTTGAGATGATGGTCACACATTTTGCTTGCAATGAATTACCATGAATATGGTAGAACAATATGCATAATACAAGTACCTACCCGCTAAATAGTTTCAAAGAAATACTAAAGACGGGAATTCCCTAATCCACAAGAATGTATTGAATATCCGCTACTAATATTTTCAAGGCCAAATTTATAATAGGAATTCCAATCTTTAGTATTAAAAATCATAATTTCTTTACTCCGTATTAAAAATTCATAATTTCTTTGCTCCATAATCCATATCTTAATTTTCTCCTTATTTACAATTTTTCATAATATTTCTATTATTCTATGCATATGTATTTGCATATTACATACAAAAATAGATAACAGAACTCAAATTTGCGATCGAATTCATTTGAAACCGAGCGCTCTTGCAACCATTCAAAGAATTTGAAAGTGAAAAGGAATGCTGAAAGCGAGCTGTTACGAACAAGAACACAAAGCGTGCCACCCGAACACGAGTGGCACGGTCCCTTCGTCTTTCCTCGTCGTCCCCTCGCCCTCAATAAACTGGTATGAGACTCTTTTGAGTCCCTGTGTGAAACGGCACTAAGTGGTGAAAATGGGCGAAATCGAACTACAATCACGACTACATTTCATATAGCACAATTTTAAATTACATCTGATTCTTTCAGTTCCCAGTATACAAACGAAGAATCAATCAACATATCCTGCTAAAACCTTTGCACGAATCGTGACTTTGAAGTGTGGCACCTTATGACCAAACTTTTCCGACCGACCAACTTTTTCCCATGCAAGTTGCGAGAGTATAAAATGTTTGGTCACGCCCGAACTTAGCACTTCCTTACATGTTGAGATATCTTAATGAAATTCGGAGAGAATCTTTTGCTGATAATAATGTTCCTTTGTTTCGAAAATGGTTAAAACCGGGTCGCTCGGATCGTGCACACACCAAGAATTTTCTGCTTTTCAAAATCTGATGAATTTATTTAGATATACTTGTACATACATGGTAGCGCTCATCGCAGGGTACTTACACTGAGATTTTCCCTTAGAACATGCCCTGAGAATGACGAAGCGCTTAAGCGTTATCTGAGCGATTTCTTAGCTTTCAGTCGGTTGAGAAGGAATATCCTCGACGGCAGCCTAAGTTATAATCTATCAAAAATCGGATAGCTAAAGAAATTTTTTAAATCCAGAGAATTGCATTAATAGACTCACTGCGGAGTACAATGGCAGGCGCTTGCTTTCTGGCATTCTTTTGACCATCAATTTCCGCCCACCAACCGATTAGTCGCCTTGGCGAATATGCTCAAAAATACATTGGTTCATAACATTGAATGTTTTGAATATCAGTTTTCATGTAAAATACCCTCACTAAAGTGTGTGAACAAGTTGATTGTAACTAATTAAGAAATCAGTAACCTTTATCCTTAAGTCACTATGTATAACAAATTTTGGCGCGAAAATTCCATTCAATGTGAAAAATTTTAAACGCCAAGCTTTACAACGTGAGAATTTCGTTTCACCATTTTGCTTTAATTGCTCGCATTTCAGTTTTTTAGGGAAGTAATATGATAGTGTTACCTGCAATTATTTCAAATTGACCACGGTAAAATAAAACTGGTTTAGCCAAAACTAATTTTCGAGCATTTACTTATGTCTATAAACAGATTTACAAATACGTAGAAAAACGTACGTAAGTATTCGTGGAAGCATGTGACGAGGTCCTTGCAAAAGTTCCCACACCTGTTGAATAACAACAACAATTCGTATCATATACGGTGAAAATATAATATGTGCAAGCTTGAGAGTACGTACATATACATACATGTATGTATATATACAAGTTCTCATTCTCCTGCGAGTCATAACAAAATCTGACAAATATTCTCAGAGGACATTAAATAAGACACGCAGCAGCAGGCAGGACAACGAGCGTTTAATCTGATAAACACGCATAATTTGTCGGTTGGTAAAAGTAGACCGCGGAGGGGTGCATTGATCAGCCCATTTTCAACACGTCGTCATATTAGTGCTGATACAAGCTCGCTTGCGGTAGATTACATATTACCGATAATGATCGTGCCTACACACAAGCGCACCGCAGTGAGAGGCAGATAATGCAACAGTAGCGGCACGTGGCTAACGGTATTTATGAGATATACAGAAATGAATTCGTATTGAAGTGGGCGGTATGGTTTGGTATTTGGTACTGTATTTGTTTTTAATATTAGCCGTCCACTCTGCTGGTAGATAATATTTTGATGAGTGTAATTGAAATTTAATATTTTCTTAAAGGATTACAAAATTAGCAGTTTGGCNTGCAAAACGAGGTTAAAGCCTTGATTGCTGCTTGGCTGTCCTCGTAGATGTTGACTCTGGAGTTGTTTGCTGATGTATTAGAGGTTAGCTCCGTGGCTTTCCCAATAACAAAAACCTCTGCTTGAAATATACTGCAGTAGTGTGGCAGTTTAATATGTTGCTTTATGTCTAACTCTGCATTTGGCTTTTAGTCGCCTTTTACGACAGGCATGCCTTACCACGGATAAATTCTTACCCCTACCCGCAGGGGGAGTCTAACTCTGGACAGTATGACCCTCCACCAACTCCGTCTTCAATTTTCGAGCCATCCCTATAAATGTTTAATGTGTTACGCGCAGCAAGCATGCGTTTACGCCAACCATCTTTTCCTATGGTTGCTCTGGACCTTCTTTCCCATTTGAAAAGTGGTAAATTTTTCTGCCGCCAGTAGTCACCCTGCCGATTTTGCTACGCCACACTAGTGAACCGAATTGGTCTTAAAATCGCTGTGTAATACCAGTGCATGAGAGAGGGAGAAACCCTCCAGGTTGTGCCGAGCATTTGTCTACACGCATATAAGGCATTGCTGGCATTCCTTACTGTTTCATCTACATTGTGCTTCCACAGAAATTTGCTGTCCAAGACTACACCAAGGTTCTTTGTGCGGTCCTTGAGAGATGGTGGTGCCCATTTATCGAAGGGATCCCCCATGGAGGGATTTTGTATTTCCTAGTGAAAAGAAGCAGTTTTTTCTGGATTTAACCCCAGAAAATCGTGCAATGACCAATTATGGACTGTATTGAGAGTGGTAGTCATAATACAGTTAATGGTGTAGGCACCTTCCCTTTATTAAAGTGGCAATGTCTTCTGTAAATAAATAGGAGAGAATATAGCACTCCACCCTGTGGAGTATCTCTACAGATGTCCTTGGTCATTTTGTCGTCGTTCCATTCTGCTCTTATCTTACGAGAGATCAAGGGGCTTCTGACCCAGCGTTGTATAGCATGATCAACACCTAT